GCAATTAACATGCACAAAACAAATAGCATGGTATAAATAGATAATAAGATTCTAGTATTGCCTTCCCAGGACAATTTCTCTGAAATCAGTGCTAATAAAAGCAGCCTTTCAGTTACTTCCCAGGCTCAGAATTATATATATATATATATATATTCTTTTCATATATACCATCCATATTGTGCTTCTTTACCTGCAACCATGTTAAACAGTTGATAAATGCTTTCTTTTCTTCTGTTTTGATATATTTATTTTTTAAATGTAGGATGCTTTGATGAGAGGCACATAAATCAAATAAACTAGGACTCCAAAGGAGGAGAATCAAACTCTGCCACATTTAGACATTTTAGCAAACACTACTGAAAAGCTATATTCTATGTCCTAAATTTCCAAGTGATATATAGAAGTGCTTTCACAACATGAAATTATGTATATAGTTTTGGTGTAAAATATTCTGGAATTTTAAAAAAGTTACCTTTTGTGCATCTCCTGTAAAGTAGGCAATGCCCAAAGTAGGAAGAATCATGAATAGTGCATTATAATAAAGGAGTCCATATTTTCCCAGCTCCTGGGAATGGGAGGGGAAAAAAAACAGAAATATATCTTGGATGAAAAATAAAATGTTACAAAGAAAACTATATAAACAAAACTGTAGTTGTTTCCTCCAAATACTATAATTTTATTCTTTCCCATGTTCTTAGACACAAACTAGTTTCATACTCTAACACAAATCAAGAGTATGACAGAAAATTCATAATTTATATTTTCTGCACATTAGTGCCTACTTTAAAAACATTAAATGGAAATGTAACTGAAATAAGCACCACAAATTTATTCTTCATTTCTTCATTCTGCCAATGTCTAACAGGCATAAATATTCAGAGGAAACAGCACTTTTTACCCATAGAAATTCAACCTCTAAACTGGGTGAGTTTTTGCCTACTAGGTGTTTGCCAAATATGGAGAAAAAACCTAAATCAATCCTTAGACTACATATTTCCCTGAAACAACCTGTATCCTTCCTGCAAGAAATCTATCCTAAATAACCAACCAAGCAGTTAACTCACTTAATCCATAATTTGAAACCACTATCTAATCAACATTCATCCACCTTCACAACTGACAACTGGCTCTTGATTTACTATGCTTAGAAAACAACCAGTTATTCTGGTTACTTAAACTGGTTACAGTCTTTTCACTAATCCATCTTTTAATTATATAACATTTCCTTAAATATATGTGTATAACCAAGTAATATAATATCTAGGTAACATCAGTATACCACTGCATTTTGGGAAACTCAGCTTAGTTGTTTATCACAAGTTCGTATCACCTGGCACTCAGTTTTACCTAACCTGAAAAATCACACTTGCAGGTTTTCAATATTTTCTGGAGCTAAATACGCAGTCTGCCACTTTAATCTTGGCATGAAATAGGTTCACACTAAAAATAGTTGGGTAGTATTGTACTGCAGACTGCAGTAATGCTTCTGGTGTTATGACTATGTTATTTAACTCAAGGAGACAAACAGAATTGTAGCTGTCCTTTGGTAGAAACAGAGTGGGGATTCAGAGCAGCAGTGAGGAACATATTACTCTCTAGATATAGCTAAATTACATCTCCCAGGATCCCTCAACACTGGCCAAGTTTACTGTGGCTGCTTTGAGCTGTAGTTCAGTTGGAATGGAGGAGCCTCAGACTGATCCAGGATGGCAATTATGTGAGCAGGTTATCTTGCTAATATGAAAGAAGTCTGAATGAATAGTATGTACAATGTGATAAAAGAAAGTAGGGAATTAGAACAAAAAAGGAATTGAAAGAATACCTAGACAAATCATAAATGGCAGCTTTCAAAATGTTTCAAGCATGAAATTTCACAGAACGTCCCATATCAAGCATGAACACCTAACTGCAAAATAGGCTGTTTCAAGCTTGAGAAAAAATGTTTCAAGTCTGAGATGCCTCCAAAGCATTGGAACAGACCATTTCAAGCTTGGGGCAGGTTTTCATGAAGTTTTGAGCTTGTAATATTTGAAAGTGAAACATTTTGTACATCCCTAGATACAGAACAGGTCAAACACATTACTGTGGAATAGTTTATCCCATGCCAAAAACAAAATTACTTATTTTTCTTTTACTGATCAGTACAGTAAATGTTTCTAACATGCAGCAGTGAGATGAATCCTACCTTTGAATCTAGCTTCTGTTTTACATAAGCACCATTTGCAGCTGTCAAGACATCATTGATCAAGATAAAAATGTAACCTTCTAGATCAAATGCCAAATCAGAACTATGGAGAAGAAACATTTAAGTTACAGAAAATTTATAACATTTACCAACAAAGAACTCATATGATTTATAAGAATTCTTCAAATGGGACACATTTTGTAAACGGTATTCCAGAAAAGGCCAGGCAGCAGATGAACCCTAATATCTAGTGCTCTAACCTAATGTAAATATGATCAGTGCTGCAATTTAGAATATCACTGATCTCCGGTAAGAGATTGGGGAAAGGAAGGGTATAGCCAAACCGTTTTTGTGTGCAATCTTTGTTCTTCTGTAATAATAGATGAGTCATACCACCCAACAAAAACATACATATGTCTAGTTGAGCAATGGTCTAAGTTTAAAATAACTTAAAGTGGATTTAGAGATTCATATTAATTCCACCAGCCAGTTAAAATAAATAGAATGAGACAATCACGGATTTGTTATGGAACAGGAAAACCACGCAGGTGGCTGAAAGCAGAAGAGGAAAATTGCCAACTTCCTTAGCCTACACAAGTAGCAGGTGACTAGTAACCCTTGGGATGTTACTGAACTACAACTTCCTGCACGTCTTGCTAACTATCCTGCTGATGAAATGTAATATTCAACAAAATGCAGAAAGTTATAAGTACCCTACTACTAGACTGCACAGAAATTATAAAAAATATTTCAGACAATACCCTCCCGCAATACTTTCTAACTCCACTGCTTAATCCCTTGCATGGGAATGTATGTATCAGAGAAAGAAACTTTCCATTTTTGGTGTAAATTCAGCAGTGCACCTGCATTAATTGTGTACTGTTTCAGTTCCACGATAACAGGAAATAACCTACATTTCTACTCTCTTTTCACCATTAGACAGAATCTTTATGATGGTAAGCTATTTCAGGAACATTTTGATATGTAAATGTAACAAAAGCATTAAAAAAATCAAACCATACCTTGCAGCTACAAATGCACCAATTATCATTGCAAATACTGTCATCCGAATTCCCCAAGAAAATTTTTTCCTAAAAAGAAAGCTTTGTCATTACTGTAACAAATTTTCAGAAATCCTCGGTATTTTTCCAATTTGAAAACTGCAGCACATAGTTAATTTTCAGGAAATCAAAATAATTTGATGAGCTTTCCACCAGAACTGATAGATCCTGTACATGTCACTATAGCAGTGACAGGGAAGGTCAGTATCTGCTTCCCTTGGTTCTTTGCACTTAACAAGAGGGCATAGCCCAGTGGTGATCCAGACCTTAGATTTTGCAAGCAACCTGATCATGTTTACGAGCACCACATTCAAGTCTTCAACCCCTCAGCTGTACAAAATAGAAAGCATGGCTATCTACAAAGAAAAAACAAAAACATGCTCTAAAATTCAACAGAATTAAAGAATTGCCGAAGTTTCAAATGTGAAAAAAATACATTATACATCCATGCTGATCTTTGCAAAAATACAGAACTAATGGATTGTTCCATAATGTTTTACAGTTCTCTTGCTTGATACAGTATGATCAAGAAGTATAATAAATTTGGCAGAGCTATGGCCATCACAAACACATGAAACAATATATATAGTATTTTTTAAACTCACTTGAGTAAGATTCCTTCTGCAAACATTGTAAACAGAATGGAAAACCGTCTCAGGACTGTAAACATTGGCAAACTAAGAAAGAAAAGAAAAAGAATGTTTTGAATAAAGCTGATTATTCTGAGATACTCTGAGTTACTCTCTACCAAGCTACTCTGGATAAACCATGATAAGTAGTAAATAGCACAAAGGAAAAGTAGCAGTTTCAGAAAGTCTTTATAAGCCAGAAAGATTACCTCCAACACTGCCAGAAAGAGTAACAAGGAAAAAGACCAAGAACCTATCAAGTCTGGGCTAGCATTAATAACCCCAAAACTGAAAAGAAAAATTGTTTTATATATAAATACGAAGCTCAAAAACTTAGTAGGTCAAAGGTTTCTTCTACTAAACAGTGTATAGATATGTTATTGAGGAATACATGTATTTGCTCCAAATCTTATTCCCTTGAACTGAGATAAACTCTCAAGGCTCTGTGTGTAAGGTTATGTTTAACCATATTCCATAACCACTTGCTAAAGGTCATACATTCCCGTATCTTTTAGTACATAGCAATGTATTGTATTTCTGAGATAAGATGGTAGAACAGCAGTTTTTGTCAGCTGGGAAAAAAGTAACTTTTCAGAACTGAATACTATCTTTCTAAAAATGCTTCATTAACATATGTAATTAAATATAGGAATATGGCAATAAGACTTTAAGATGATGTCTTTGTTTTAACAAAGTAGTCCAATTAAGTACTACTTAATATTTCAAGAATTTTGCAAAAGTCTTCTAACAATATTATTATTTTCTGCTTTAAGTCTTTTTGAGCACCATCCTAAACCTTGTTTCCTACCTAAGAAATGTCTCTAACAAGGCATTCAGGTGGAATTGCAGGCAGGAATGGTTGTGTCATGGAAACAACAGCCATAGCTGCACCCATGTCCTGGGGAAGGTTCGTCTAGCTACAGTCAAACATACTTTTGTTGCATATAGGATTGGACTACTCCAACATTCATTGCATGCTTTTGAACTATGTCACACACTTCAATTACACTCTGCAAAACAGACCCCAGATTTATTCTCAGAAAAGAAAAGTAGGAAGAAGCTGTAGATCAGTATTCTACTATGAAGCTTACCCAGAAAAAAACAAAACGTACATTGTAGGGTAAAATATCCTAGGGTGTTAAGGTGGTGGTGGAAAGGGACATTTTGCTTTAAGGTATTCATTTTACCTATTTACTATTTTTAACCATCCCAGTCTTACAGTGCTGGGAGATGTACAACAAAACAAAAATAATTTTTAAAAAAGACAAAACAAAAATAAAAAATAAACATCATATGACAATTATATGGGTGCAAAAATGGGTGCCCACAATAATCAACTGGAGCCAGAAGCTTGTTGGAATAAGAAGGTTTTAATGATCTTCTTAAACAGAAGAAGGGAAGGAACCATTCAACCCCCCCCAAGATATTTATGTTTTTATTTTATTACAAGTGCTTTTATGCCGCTTCAATCAAAAAAATAAAACTTTGCAGCTTACAAAAACCACATTCCTTAATACTGGAGAGACCACAGAAAAGTCCTGCCACTTTGTCCAAATGCCATGGACCACACAAAGAGAGGGACAGAGTTAACTGGCAACATGGTACCTAATGCCACCTGATGTGTGCTGTTCAGAACTTCATAAGTAACAACTTTGAACTGGGTCCAGAAGTTAACAGGAAGCCACTGTAGGGATTTAGAATCGGTATTACTTTGTAATGGTGGGATTGTCTCACCAGCAGTCCGGCTGCTGCAGTGTGACCTAACTGAAGCTCCTAGGTCATCTCCAAATGCAGCACCACATGGAATGTCTTCACTTTGTCCAACTGCATGTTGTTTTGGTCCATGAGTTACTGTTATTAGGGCATCCTGGTCAAGATAGGGTCACAACCGGCATATGACCCAGAGCTGGGCAAAAGCCCCCTTGGTCACAGCTTCCACCTGCTATTTAAGTAGGAGCCATAAATCCAGGAGGACCCCCAATTCACAGACCAACTTCTTCAGGGGGAATGCAACCCCATCCAGGATGACTACGAGGTCCATTGTTAATGGATCAACTTGTTGTTTACTGATACAGCCTTGTCTTGGTACAATCTAATTTTAGTTTGTTCTACTTCATCCAGATTCTAATGAGCTCCAGATACCAATTCAGGCAGTTTACAGCATTGCTAGTTCAACTCAGGTTAATGATGTAAAAGTGAGTGTTATCAGCATACTGATGACATTCACTCCTGAAGTGATGCGCAACCTTGCCCATGACTTCATACAGATGTTGAATAACATAAGGGAGAGCACTGAGCCTTACAACACTCCACAATGACTTCAGACCCACTTCAGTAAAATTAAACCCACCATAAAACAGTACCCCCAATTTGAAACCCTTGAGGATAGTTCAGCAAAATGCCATGGTCAATGGAACCAAACCCCACCAAAAGATTTAAAAGCACCAAAAGAGACCTCCCCTTATCAAAGTCACAGCAAAGATCATCAACCACAGTGATCAGTGCCTATGATTGGGCATGAAATCTGACTGATATTTATCCAAATAATCTATTTCTTCTAGGATCCTCTGTAACTAAACACCCACCACCTTCTTTTTGCCAAAGGTAGCCAGATCTATGGTAGGCCTCTTCAAGAGAGGGCAAGTTATACCTCCATCAAGACAGGCATTCCTCTCTCCTTCAGAAAGGCACTGACAGTCTCCCAGTTCTAGCCACTCACAACTGACCAGGGCAGTCTAAAAGAGCTAGGAAGGAAATGGATCAAGTACAGATGGTGGGGCTCACATCACAGTTTTACCTCTTATTTGTTTTTAATAATGCCTCAGCAGGTAGCAGCACCTAAGCAGGATTAAACCTCCTTAGGATTTGAATAGGGGACCACAGTGCCGAACTAAGGGCGACTGACGCCCTAAGCACAGCCCAACAATGGTGCCCCTCAGCCCTTCCATTGCTTACCTGACAAGACATGAAGACTCAATAAATGCTGATAACTAAAGTCAAGTGTGGAGTGAAAGAGTTAAAGGCCCAATAGCTAGGGGAGAAACTCTGTGGTGCCCCCCTTTCCTTGGTGTCCTAAGCATGTACTTATTTTGCTTAATGGTTAATTCAGGGCTGGGGAATCACCAGGATATTCCAGGATGACTGGTTAGGCAGGGAAGTAAAAATACATAACCTGGAAGAAGTTACTAGCAAACCACTTTCAGTAACACTGCTAAGCAAACTACATGGATGCAGCCACAGAAGGCTGCCTTGAGGAAGTATTTATTGCTTAAGAATATGCATTTTCTACTGTATTGTGTGGATTTTTTCCCACTTTTATAGGACTTTGTGTTCCTGAGTAGACATACAAGACTGCACTGTAACATGTATGTGTCTTCCCAGATGAAGGCTTCTATCCATTTTTACTTGAAAGTAAGTCCTACTAAACATAATGGGATTTACTTCTGAGTTCAACAACTACAGGACTGAGATGCAAGAGAATAATTTATAAAGAAATCCAGCTGATATCACCCCTTCCATTCTTCTTCAGTTTTATCAAGCACTTTTCCATTTGCTAAATCAGAAAACACTCTTCACCTTAGTATTCCAAAAGTAACTAGCCCTTTGAAGTAATCAGAACAAATATCTTTCAAATTAAATTGAGCTCCTGCAATACAGATATTGTTTTAATAAAAGCATAATAAAATTATAACCTCAAAACATATAAAAGTTATCCATACTTCAATTTCTTTGTGCTGAACAGTCCTGTGATTTGGTTCCCAAAATAGAGAAGAGGTAGTGGAAAAGTCTAGAAAATTATAAAGAGGGATAAAATAACACTCAATGAACAGGTAACGTCAGCTTGAGACCTAGCCATTCTAAACAATGACAGTTTTATAATGAACAGCTTTCATCAGGCACACCACAAGGCAAGCCTTAGGAAAAAAGCCCAATGATGTTTAACTGTGGCTTAACGGCTTTAGCACGTCAGATAAATAAGATTTTGAAATCCAATTTACAAAAGAAGCACATACATCCTTTTTCTCAAGACTTTGTTCATTTATGAAGCCATTAACAGAACATCTATTATTTCAAGTCATGTTGGGCAACTAAAGGCAAAGTACTCATAAACTGAGGTCATATTTAAATCAAGTGACTTGTTCATATATGTACATTAGTAGCATACTAAGAATCTATGGCATGACACTGGTATAAATACAGGAAATAGCCACTCTTTTAATACCATGGTCTACTAAATAAGTTGCTTTTAATAAGCAAGTTATATAATGGCCTCAAAACTCATAATTCAGGAGACCTACAAAAATACACATTTCAGTTATACGAAGCGAAATCATACCAAGGTTTACTCAGAAATAGGATCCATTAATTTATTTATTCCAGGCATACAGAGTTGTACTACTAACTGGAAGTAAGTCCTTTTACATTTAAGTGACTGTATTCTAAGAGACGAATCTTACATTACATCAGGAAAAGCCAATAGGAGCCTTTGTGGAAACATCCCTGTCCCTCTTTTAAAAGTGGGGGAAAAAGGCAATAATAATAGTGAAAAGAAAAAAACAGGGACGTAGTATGCTGCAAAGCATTTCTTTTCCAAGAACATTTCTACTCCTCCACAAGCTTTTTTGGAAGTAGACAAAATGGGTCACTAAGGCTCAGTCTCTCTTACAAAGGGTGCCAATGGCATACCAAATATGTGTGTGTGTGTATGCACGCGTATATAATAATAATCCTATACAAAATAAAAGCTAGAATTCTTCATATTAACAGCACTTTTACACATTTTAAAGTGTGCCCTAACTGTCAGAAACCCAAGCAGTACTTATCTTAATGAACGGATTCTTTATAATTTCTATTCCAGTAAATTCATTGTTAGTTTTGGGAGAGAGGGATGAGAGGGAAGAAACATACCGTACCTTTCGAGGTATATGTCTGTCAAAATCTGGAAACTTCACCACCCTGAGTGCCTTTCCCACCCAAAGGACAACTACTGTAGCCAGCATCTGTGAAAGAAGGAAGAGAAACCACTAGTTTGTCTCCAATTCTCCCTGCCCACCCTATTAGAGAATTTCTGAAATGCAGACTCCAACTAACCTGGCCTAGTCCCACACATAGCGAGGAAGGAAATCTGTAACAAACCACAAACATGTTAAACTGTACTAGGCCACCCAAACTTGGACAGACTGTGCACAACAGAGAATGCTAGCAGTGGCAGGAAAAATGGCCTGCCTCTATCCTCAATTAAAACAGTTATGTAGCACTGGATGCACTTCATTCAGTATTCTTTGCCCTTGCAACAACGCCCTTGCAGACGTAGTTCTAACATGTCCAACTGTATCTGCACAGATGCACTTCTTATGGTGCACCTATTCCAGAAGCACTTTAACGTCCATGCACACAGAATGATCAACAACGAGGAAAACCACAGGGCACCTACGGAGACAAATTAAAAACATGTAACGTCGAAGGAAAGGAGGCTTCCAAGGAATCTTTAAAACCAGGTTGTGAACCCCGAACTACCAGGGTCAGCTCTCTGGAATTCCATGGCGCTGCGCACCGCAAGCGTCCAGTCAGAATCCAACCCGGTGAAATCAGTGGGGTTTATTCGAGCTGCCCGGGTCCAGGTCCTGTCATTTCCAGGGCGCCGCGCTGTCCTGGAGAACAGGAGGCACCGGCAACTTCTCAGCCAGGCGACCCACAAGTGGCTTCATCCGCGGAGACGCTTAAAGACGGGTCCCGTCCAACGGCAAAACCCTCTAGTCGGCATCCGCCCGGAGAGATGAGGAGCGCCCGAGGCACTCCTCCCCTTCTCCTTTAACATGGAGGCGGCCAGAGCGCCGCTCTCTCCCGCAGCAACGCGGGGCTTTGCAGAAGCCCCCGAGGCGACTCAAAGCAGCCTCCCGCTCAGCGGTTCAAGCAAGAAGCAGCCGCCGCCGCCGGCTCCCCGGCCTCTCTCCCCGCTGCTGCACGCGCCGCTCCGCCGCCCTGCGGAGTCTGCCCCCAAACTTCCACCAGGGCCAGCGACCGAGAACTTTGCCCGAGCTCGCCCCCTTACCCGTAGCTGGTGAGGACGCTCTTGTTCACCACCACGATGAGGAAAGAGCTGAAACCGTAGAAGGCAGCCGCCAGCAACTTGAGGCAGGCGGAAAGGCTCGGGGCCGCCGCCATGCCCGGGTCCTCATCTCCGCGAGCTGGAGCGACCACTGCGGCGGCAGAGGGAGCTTCTCCTCTCACGCCAGCTGCCTGACGTCTGCGCGCGGCCGCTGACATGGTTGCAAGCGAGACGTCAGAGGGGGCGGAGCAGGGGGCGCCTGCGAGCGAGAGCCGGAAGAGCGAGAGCGAGAGCTGCGGGCTTGTTGCCGCCGGAGTGAGGGGTGGGGCGGCCTGGCCTGCGCTGCGCTCTGGGGAGGCGCGGGCGCGTGAGAGATCCTGTTACTTCTAGGGCAGCTTTCCGCAGCCGGGCATCCTCCAGATAGGCTGGACGAGCTCCATCATCTTCGGGCGCTTGTAGAATAGAAGGAGATACTCAAAGCTAACGGGTCAGAGTAGGCGAGCGAAATCAACGTACTTATTTCCCACCGTCCACTCTTAAGGTTCCTAAGAATATTTAAGCAATATGATGCGTAATAATGACCCGCTCTTTAATTAAACCGAAAAACAGTGTCTGAGTAAGCCAGAGTTGGGTTCACCACAGCATAAAAGGCCGGTTTGGAAGATGATGTATAACAACAATCTTTTAACCCAGATTTTTTTTTTTTATCCAGTCAGCTGAAGAACACAAATCGCTTGATGGTGAAAAGTGATTTCAGGCAGGCAGCTATAAGATCAGAAGTGCAAAGGGGGAGGAGAGTGACTTACACACCTAAAAGTAAAATTGGGTTCCAATTTCACTGATCCAACTCAGAGCTGACTCAACTCCCGCTGCATAGCCAAGTATTGTAAGAGAGGTGAGAACACTTGGGTATGCAGAGCCCTGTACATTAAAAACCAGGATACATTTTTAACTGAATGAGCTATTCAAAAACCCCAGATGTGGAGGGAAAAAAACTGGGTCAAGCATCCATAAGACCTGGAGTGCAATGTTCCGAGGCGGGCATGTGGGGAAAGAGAAACATTTACACCACTCAGCAAACAATTCACTGAATGGAAATTTTTCTGCCCTAGCATCCCATTGCCAGAAAAGTAAAAGAGGATGAAGGGAAGGCAGTGCAGAAGGATGCAATCCTTTGGAGCCACGTTCTTCTGCAGACAGGAAAGTAATACCAGGAAAAAAACCTTTACATACACATTTTCTTTCTTGTTTGCTATCTCTCTCTCTCTCTCTCTCCACCCCCCCCATATGGTTTAATAAGTACTCAAAACCCCTTTCAGCTAAAATTATTCCTCTCTCCATGCTATGCTGAGAACAATTGCTATAAAGTAGTCAGTGGAAATACTTCACTATACAGGTGGTCCTTCTTTAATGACCACTCATTCAGCAACCATTTGAATTT